TCTGTCTGTCTGTCTGTCTGTCTGTCTGTCTGTCTGTCTGTCTGTCTGTCTGTCTGTCTGTCTGTCTGTCTGTCTGTCTGTCTGTCTGTCATGTTTTGTCATTCCTAACTTGTTGTTTTTACCTGTAAGGGTGTCAACACACTTAAATCTCTTCAGGAACTAAACCTCGCTGACAACATTATTGAAAAGATTGGTAATATGGAAAAATCCTCTTATTTTGTTTTCACTTTTGATGGAAATTCATAAGTTATTACTAAAAAAAATACTGAAATGTGTTTTTTTTACTCTTTTTTATTAGGGAACAACCTTGACTTTAATGTCAACCTTGAGATTCTCAGTCTCTCTGGGAACAAGATCAGCTCCTTTAAGGTGAGACTAAAAAACAAAATGTATTCTTTCAAATTTTTTTTTTTCTGTGCAAAGTTTGCTTGCATGTTTTTTCTAAATCTTATTAAAATCCTTGGTTTGACAAAAATGACATTTCTAATTTCTTGTCAGGGTCTTSGTCAGATCATATTTTTAATCATTTCCACACAGCAAAGAAGACCTTTACTGAGGTGCTGAGCAGCACGATTTATAATTTGGCTATTCCACATTCAAAGATATGCAATAGCAATAAAAAGAATAATATTTTCAATGAATGCAGTAGCAAAACTATTATTTTTTTAAAATTTACAATCAACTTTGAACATTTATTGCATTTTCAAATAATAATAAATGTTGACATTTCCAAACATAAAACCAAGGTTTCTTTTAGTTTTGCATTTAAGACATGCAGTTCATTCAAAGGCATTGTTTTCTACAAGGTCATTTTGACGAGGCACGACAGTGTTTGTTGATCTTGATTTGATCATCTTCACACTGCAGCATTTTTTTTCCCAGCAGTTCATGTTTTTCTCTTTCTTCAGCTCGGCTTTAAGGAATGCAGTTATTGTCTTTGTGCTGATCTCTGAGCAATAACTGCAAAGAGAAAGTGTCTGACATATCTTTTAACTGCTGTGAGCGGTGAATTTAGAGGAAAAAAGAAATCAAATATTCAACTTTGATGGCATCTGTCTGATATTTAGACACTGTTTTCAAAGAGCAACCAACAAAACAAGGGTTACTGGTGTCTGTTTTAATCCTCTGCGCTGATTGTTTTATCACTTTGCAAAGTATTTTAGATAATACCTGCAGTATTGGAAAGTACTTTGCATTCTCTAAGAAAATGAAAGAGTTCCTGGAAAGGTAATTTAAATTTTTTTTCCTTAAGCTGTCATACCTAACAGCCCAGAAGTATGAATGTGGTCTGCAGATTGTTTCATCGTGAAAGTACAGAAAAACTTTGAACATTAGGCCTTTCTCGTTAATAAGTCTTTGATTTCTGGTTTACCAGGACCTCACGCTGCTTGCCCACTTGCCCAGTCTGAGAGAGTTAGYGCTGCAGGACCACACGTCCACCCCAAACCCGGTTTGTCTGCTGTCCAATTATGCCACACACGTTCTGTACCACGCCCCAGGCCTCCAGCGTCTCGACAGCTACGATGTGTCCGACAAGCAAGCCAAGGATGCAGCAGAGGTACTCGAAAAAACAAATAAACAAACATCAACAAAAAGCACTACACTACTATGTTATTCRTTTTTTTCAAGTCCTTAAAATTATTCCAGGTTTTATCAAACATTAATTAATTTTAATACATATAGTTTTTTTTATTTTAAATATGATAATTTGAGCTTTTGAGTAATGATGCTTAATGGTATCTTTAAAATGATGCTTAGGATTGGATGTATCTTTGTCTACCACTGTAATTTATTGCCTCTACTGTTTTATTTTTTGGTCTTTAGTCTGCAGTAATGAAGAAAATAATGTACTACAACATGCGTGTACGCACTGCTCAGAGGAACCTGGCAGAGACTCAGATAAGATTGTTAGAAAAGAAAAAAACTCTAATGCAGTTACCTGAAGAACGCATCAAGACTCTCAGTCGCACCCTCAAAAACGTAAGTACCGTTCATAAAATAACCATAGTGCCTTTACTGAAAATGCTGGATGAAGTCTTGTTTTATTATTCCCACGATGCACATTCAGGTTTTATTTTTTAAATTACATTTGGCTGCATTTTTAGCTTGAACGAGAGCTGCCCGTGTCTGGTTGTGTGTTGACGGCTGGATCAGGAGGAAAATATTTCCCTGAGGATGGTTCAACTGAAGAAAGTGACTCAACCACCGACAGTCGTGATGCTGCCGTGGAGCACAAAATTCTTCTTAAGGTTGAATCACTGAGGGAAAGATTGACCGTCTGGGCAAGAAAGATGGATGAGTTAGTTTGTTGTATCTCTGCTGTAGAATCAAATCATTCCATAAATATCAGGATCTCACCTGAAGTTGTGTTTTAGTTGTGCAGAAACAATATTTGTTGTGTGATTTTTAGCATTGAAGCCTGGTTTGAGCGAGAACTGATTCAAGCCACGACTCAGATGGAGTATATGGTGCAGTTTTTATTGATGGAGCTGGAAAGCGTTGGAAACATTAAATTAGAGGAGGGCTACTCCACAGATACTTGGTACGTGTTTCGTATCTATAATTAATCCACAACCATCTTAAAAGTCACAGTTTCTTTGACAAGATAAAACATTTTTATTGTTTTCTATCCCAACAGGTTTACTTCTTGTTGCAACCTCCTGCTCTCCCGCTTTTCTCCATCAGACTTCAGTAGTTTTAACGTCACAGACATAAAGATTAATAAAGTCTTCCGCATCAACAACAGCGCTTTGAGGCTTCGTTTTGAGGACAAACTTCAGAGTCATCTTAAAAGCAAAAAATCCGCTTCAGTTTCACCGTGAGTAAAACTTCAAAGAAAAAGGCTGGTGAATAAAACCTTTACAGTGTAAGTTTCACGTCGTGATTCTGAAAGGAACCCTTTTAACCACAGACATTGGCTGGATTACTTGTTCTACATTGCTGACCCTGAAAAATGTGAGAAAGAGGGGACTTTGTGTGTTTTAGAGGAAGGCTTTAAAACAACACAGCAACAAAAGGTGAGCCGGAAAGAATCTACTCACACAAGTTTCACTCRWTTCARTCAGATTCCACTGAGAAAAGCCTTTTTTTAAACCACAACTCACAAAACTCAACGCATGCTGACTTGTAAAATTTCTGCTCTTTTAATCAGACTTTGCAAAGGGAAGATGCTATACCTTTATCCAACTACATAAACTTAACTGAACAGCCTAGAATTGAACACAAGCTGCATCAGGCCGATGAGTGCAATCCCAAACAAAGTAAAGACACAGTCCCTTTCAGGCATGGTGAGTTGTTTTTGTTTATAAAATTGCTAGCATCATTTTATATGTTCTAAAATATATTTGATCTCTTGTAGGTCATGTAATTGTGTGCAAAGTGTTTGTGGGCAACTGTATGCCCGTCTGTGATGAACAGCTGGACAGAACMAGCCACCTCAATATCTGCTCTGTGTATCGTAATGTGGACGCCAAGCTCAGCTCTGCAACAAATGACGGTATTTAGTAACGAAAATTGCCACAATAACTACTTTTGCCTTCATACTGGGAAGTCATTTTGTATTTCTTTGTGGGTTCTTTTTTTTTGGTTAATTTAGAGAGACCCAGCGTAGCTACAACGCACACAGATCCTGAGTGTGTTCACCAACAAAGGCAGTGGTTTGTGTTTGACCATGAGCTTGTCCTCCCAGAGTACATTGTGTTTTTTGAATACATCACTGCGGTAATTCATGCATTTGTTCTGTTTTCTGATGATCTGATAACACTGTTGTGCYACACACAGTATATAATGTGTTAGCWCTGGTCTAGTTGATTATACCAAGCTGAAAGTCTTGTTGAATTAATATAAAACGATGGAATGAAATGAAATTTTTACACTGTGTTTTAAAAGTAGCAAACAATCAAGTACAATTTCTCTGAACATTTTAATGTGCTTTTACTAGGATGACCACTTGAGTCATTTTGTAGGCAAAGACAAAAGTTTGTCTAAAGATATTTTCCGAGACGAAGCCACCCTCAYCATGGAACCTGTCCTGAAGCCGCGGGTCAGATTGTTGGGATTGGATCATAAAGTTTTGCTAAGTGTGTCGCGAGCTAACACCCTCAGTCAGATCACTGTAAGTCCTCTGTGCTGTTAAGCGTTTGGCTTCGAGGCCATTTCACACACTCACAGTAAGCTGTCATTGATGTATTGAACCTGCAGGTGCTCAACCTTCATGACAACAGTCTGAGTAAAATTAAAGAGCTTTCCAGCCTCACAGCACTGAGACATCTCACAATCAGCTTCAACAAGTTCACAAGCCTTGATGACATTTCCCACATGGTAAATGTAATTTAACAGTTTGTTTAAGGCCAAAAAAGGAACATATTAAAATATATATCATTGTAGATATTTTCCACAGTTGTGTGAAGTTAAAATATTAAACTTTTTTTTTTCCTTTTTGCAGCCCAACCTTGAGTTTTTAGATGCTAGTTTTAACCAAATAAGGACTCTGGAAGGGCTGCGGGGGTTGAAAAATCTCAAACAGTTCGATGTGAGCTGGAATAATCTGACCAACGCTAGAGAGGAAACAGCTGTGCTGAGGAAACACACACCTGTTTTACTGAAACTGGACACCAGATATAACCCCTGGAACAAGGTGTGTGTTGAAATTAAGAAAAAAACAACAACAACAACAACAGCAGATACATCCTTTCCATTCTTTACATATAATTTCAACATAAACAATGGTTATTGTATGGTCAATAGGAAATGATGTAACTAGTTACAAATTCAGGATAAAAAACATGTGAATATTTTTTTTGTTTTCATTCCAGCCAGAAACGGTCAGATTAACCATACTAGGCCGCCTCACGGCCCTCACACACCTGGATGGTGTGCTGGTAACAGAAGAGGAGGCTGCTGAAGCTGCTCTGATGGTGACTGCATCCAGGATTAACCAGGTGAAACACTGCCTTCTGAGTCTTTATAAATAGACTAGTTTTTCAGTTCTTTGACCTGGTTTTRGTAACAGTTTTATGTATCGAAACTGAATGTTGAATGATTGAAACTGAAGGTGATGAGCAGTTTTTATATGCTTTTGTTGACACTGCTTGCAGGCGATGCTGTTGGCACACTCTCGTGTCAACAGTGACCGTCCCCGCAGTCTCAGTTTACTGTCCACAGCCCAGGTCCTCTCTCATTTGAGTTCATCACCCTGGGGACCTGGTAAAGAACTGGAGCCTGACTGGACCTCAAAGGTAAACAAATTTCTAATTTGAAAGTGATTATGACGAACCATGTATAAACATTTAAGAACTGTGACTTTTAGTAGTTTGTACTCTAGTTTTTCTAATCTTTTTTTTTTTTTTTTACTGTGGCCTAAAATTGACCAGATCACCTCCTTGAATTTTGACAATCAAAGACTTTCCGGGATTTTTAATCTGAATGAGCTGGTTAATCTGCGCTGGGCATCTTTTAATGATAATGACATCTCTAAACTGGAGGGTCTTGATAGTTGCATCAAGTTGGAGGAACTTTCAGTAAACAACAACAGCCTCAGCTCATTCAAAGGTTAGGCTCAACCTTATAATTAAAATTTTCTTTACGTCTAACAATCCTTAATACAGTAACCATGATTGTTTTTGTGTGACCTTCTTGTTCAGGCCTGTCAAGACTGCATCGCCTGATTAAACTGAGCATGGATGGAAATCAACTTTCCAGTCTGGATGCCTCAGTTTTGGACAATCTTCACAAACTGACCTTTCTGTCTGTAACAAACAACTGCATCACATCCCTGCATGGCATCTGGAAAGTTCGGTCTCTCCTTGAACTCTACATCGGAGGCAACCAGATTTCTTCATCAAGAGACATCTACTTTCTTAAAGTGAGGAAAGTTGGTTTCGAATATTCCCCACCATTATCATTGTGTTCTCTGAGCTCTTATGCTCTTTATGTTTTCTCATTAGGGTTTAGAAAATCTCATCATTCTGGATCTGTATGGGAATCCTTTAGTGACAAAACTGGAAAATTATCGAATATATGTCGTGTTTCAACTACCTTCCCTCAAAGCTCTGGATGGAACTGCAGTGGTATGCTGCAAAACCTGAAACCATCTACACAGCTCAGATATCAGTGATCATATTAAGTATTTAGCTTCTTTTTGATGTTTTCTCCAGGATCAAAATGAAAGTGTGAGTGCAAACAGTATGTTTAGAGGAAGACTCAMCGCTGATGCAGTAGCACAGAATCTTGGCCACTCAAATTATGCAGACATCACAAGTTTATCTCTGCAGTCTTGCTCTCTTAGGTAAAAACCTGTTTAAACTAAATGTGAAACATTTGAATATGARACTTATCTTTACTTTGATGATAAATAAGTTGCTTACAAAAGCATAAAAACACCCACCTTCTCTCCATCAGGATCGTGGATCTGTCTCCAGCAGACCAGTTTTGCAATCTGCTCTGCGTCAACCTAGAAAACAACAATCTGACCTCCTTCTCTGGCCTTATCCACCTGCCAAACATCAAAGTACAGACTGCCAGCTACACGCCTGCAAAATATCCAGAAATAAGCTTTAGAGGAATAATAAAATATTTATGCTGTCATCTTTCCAGACTCTGTGTTTAAACCACAACCACATTGAGTCCATTCTGCCCAGGCACAAAACTCAGGCTCACCTGACAAACAGACAGATACTTCACAACAAAGTCCACTCCAGTGGCTATGGCCAGCAGAGCTCATACAGGTAATATACAAACTTTTTAGCAGTTTATGTTAAATTCTCACACAAATTGCTTAAATTGTCCATTAGAGGGCAGCACTGACCAGACAATGTACAAGCTGCTTTTTAACGGCTATTTTATGTTAGGTGATTAAACTGAACTGGAAAAGTGTAAATGCAAACGTAAACAATTCATATTCACTGAATTTTAAAAATACATATTAACCGAATTTTAAAATATTTTGATTGTCAAGTATATTATATTAAAAATAAACAGAATATCGATGTATTCATTCAGTGACATATTTCTCTTTAAAAAATCAATTTGTGAGCAGAGAGTCGTTCTTTTGTTTGGTTTGACTGTAATTGCTATGAGTCTGTGTGCACCTGTAAGGTCTGACCAGCTAAACGTAGCAGCAGGAGGGAGAATGAGATGTTCATTTAGCCACAGAGTTTACAAAATGTTGTTGTTGTTTTTYCTGTGCCTGTCTTTAAGGGATACTGGGCCCACCGTCAGCCTGGAGCCACTGATGGGAAGCCTGGAAGTGCTTCATTTGAGTCACAATGGCATCTCCAACATGGCCAATCTGCAGCTCAGCAGGCTCACCAATCTTAAAGCACTCTTCCTCCAAGGTATGTATGGCTCACGTACCACCCCTCCCTCTCAAAGCTGTTTTAAAGTGCGGCGTATGGAGCATGTGAAAAGGCGAGCACCAAAAGAGCAATGCCTCCCATAGACCTAAGGCCAGGTGGATGATGAGACTGGAAGAAAAGAACGGCTGACTTTCTTTTCAACAGCTTTTGATTGGTTTTGATTGAGCTTTGCTTTGTCAAGGGTGTTTTGTCCCAGAAAGACAACTTTATGTTCTTGTTTTTCTTCCTTTTTTTGGAACATTTTAAAGTTTTACAGCAGGAACAAACAAGAAACTTGCCTTTTATACTGTTAAGGAAGTTCAGTTTACTGTTCAGTTTTTTTTTTTTTTTTTAGCTATTATTATCTGAGATATGTGTCCATTGTTTTAATGAGATTTTGTCTTTTTATAGGCAATGAGATCCGGCATGTGGAGGGCTTGGAAGGTCTTCACCAGCTCAGAGAACTCGTTTTAGACAAAAACAGGATCAAAACTTTGGCTAAAAACACCTTTACAGCCCAGAGTGTTCTACTAGAACTGCACCTTGCAGAGAACCGAATCCAGGAGTTAAATCATCTTGATCCTCTGGCTGATCTCCGCAAGCTCTTTCTCGACTCAAACAAGCTGCAGGTATTCTGTTTTTTTAAATGTTTATATTGAGAATTTTAATGAAACTGCTTTTTCAATTAAACTACCTGAAAAGCCACAAAGCAGTAGAATTCTCTATGCTCTCGGGAAGGTCACAGTCACCTTTTGTGTAGTTTTTGATTTACCACCAACTTTTACTGATTGGTTCATATGTGTCAAATGTTTCAGAATGTATTTTATTCAGCATGCCACAGTAATACTTTTCCCTGCATTTGCAAAGTAGACATAAAGTATAGTAATCATGAGCTATTACCACCCACTGTGGCATGCAAGGGGTAGTATTAAGGAGAATCAAGTTTGATTGAAGGTCAGGACCGTGTGTATGAAGAAAGAGAGGAACAATCAGGACGTGTAATCAGCTTCTCAGTCTGCATCTCCTCACCCAGGGTGAGTGATTTGCACTTTTGTTGCCAGTTCCTTCTTTCCTTCACTTCCTTAATATTTTCATGCATTCAATTAAGACATAAAATACAGCAATCATCCCAGAGCATCAGGCCTCGCAGTGGGGGCGTCTTTGAATCACAGCCAAGTCAGAGCGTAAAGCTGGGAATCAAAGAAAACACCCGTGTGCCCAAACTCTTTCATGAGATTAATGCAAGCTCACACATGTAATCTCTCCCATCAGCTGCCTCCATCCTCCCTACTCCAAAATTCTGAAAGGTTCTGCCCTCATACATATGTCTCCATTATCAGCACACACAGCAGGCTGGAACCAGTCGGGATATAGTTAAATGACAGGGTGAGAGAAAACTGAAAATTCTGTTTGTTTTTCTTACGTCTTGCAGGACATCGCAGAGCTCAACAAATTAGAAGTTCTTCCCTCGCTGGTGGAGCTTTCTGTGCTCGGCAATCCAGTGAGTATTACTGGGTTTTARTTTGCCCACTAAACCCAATTAAGTATTACAAACTAGTAGAGATTATTATCAGAATATTTTTTTTCTCTCAGAAAAGCTTTTATATTAAAGTGAACCGACAGTAACAGCTCACTAAAGGGTTTTTGACTCACAAACAAAATATCCGAAGCACGATTATGAGCTCAATTTCTCAGTTGCAAAATCCCAAACTCTAAATTAAGTGATTATATGATGGGCCGTCTGCTGAGCCTCAAACAGGCTGGCATCAAACACCATTTTGCTGACCAAATGGCAGGGCACTGTTGCCCCGATACATCACCCATCTGGAGCTCATGGATCAAGCCTGAGCAGAGCCTCTCTGWTATCCACAGGGTAAAGCTCAGCTGTGGCCGCCTCTTTTCTGCTTGACCCCATCCCCTTTCTCTTCTAACGGGACAAAGTCCAGCAGGGACCCAAGAGACRGTACTTCCTGCTGTTTCTCCTTCTCCTATGTTCTCCAACCCAAACCATTCGGCTCCTTTCCCATGGAACATGTAGCACACATTAACAACTTCACCACTGCAGAAGCATCCTGTAGGAACATACATGTGTATCTTGGCCAGAGTGTGTCCTCAGCTGGGGATGGACCTCTGTGCTGCTGTCACATGGGTCTTTGGAACAGCTGCTGGGAATATGGTAGCTATGCTGGGGTACACACAGCATCATATTTGTCCCAGATGTCTCGAACCATTCAGGTTGAAATATTAAAGAGAAAATGCTGGATTTGAGTTAAGAGCAGAGTGGCATGTAACAACTGATTTTAAACTTGTCAAACCTTTTTTCTTTGTCTTTTTTTAGGTTGCTCTACATTCTCTCCACAGACCATACATAGTGCTACGGCTAAATCAGTTGCAGATCTTGGATGGAGCGGTAGTCACTTTGGAGGAACGAACCAGGGCTGAGCTCCTCGAGGAAGAGTTATTTGTAAGAGCAATGCAAATACAATTGTCACTAAGAATTAAGTTTGTGCATTCACACTYTTGAATGATTGCAGAATTTCTTGAAACTATTCCTTTTAATGATCTACAGGTACTGAAAAAAGCTATTTCTATCTAAAATCACTACATGCTGTTCCACACATCAAAGACAAATATTATTATTAGTGTGAACTTATATTCTATTGAACACACTACAAAGACACAATATTAAAGTCCAAACAGATAAACTTTATTTATTTCCATCTATCCATCCATTATCTATACCCGTTTATCCCTTTTCTAGGGTCACTGGTGCCCATATCCAGTAATCACAGTGCGAGGGGTGTACTTTAT